TATATATATATATATATATATATATATATATATACACACAGATAGTGAGAGAGTACACATGAGTGAGCTAGTGGCTTGCAGTTTCCAGATTCTGACAAGAAACTGGAAAATCACGATGTGACTAAAACCTAAGCTTTGGCTCTAGGTGCTACTGAGAAGACAATAATGAAAAAGAAAAAAAAAGACACTTCTCCAAGAACTGAAACCATACTTACTTAACCAAAACAGCACTTTTAATATAGATGCAATAAAGGTGAAAATACAGCAGAAAAGCATTCTATGTTCTCATTGATCTTTCAGATGAATTGACAGTTGCAAGGATAAACAGTCTCAAGAAGATCAAGTTTACACCTTGGTATTTGGATGACTGGCAAATGCAGCTTACCAGGGCAATGCCTTATGAAGTTAATGGCTTGAGTGGCTCAAGACTGAGAGGTGAAAGCTCATACCAGAAAGAAGTCCCAGGAGGAGATTTATTTTTACACAGAATATAAATCTGGGCTTAGCTAAATGGACAATGGTTTCAAAAAGCTAGATAAGTCAAAGGTTACATTATCAACATTATCAGTAGAACAAGCCAAAAATAAACACAGTTTTGAGGTAGTTCACTAGTTTTTGTGAATATCCCTTTAATCTCTATTATATCCCACTCTCCTCAGCCACCCATATGGGTAAATCTTTAGATAGTTGGCTCTGTATAATCACAGATTGATTTGAGCCTTGACATACTCATTAGAGATAATTGTCAGATGTGAAAAAATGAAGCAGCAGGTCTACTCAGAATCAAGAGTTCCTCTTGAATCTGATGAGATCTCTTTGTGTGCTTCAATAGTTCATGCCAGCCTAAAAACAGCCGAGAGAAGTTTTTAGCTTAATTTTCACTCCGACAGTTTCAGTATCATTTCTATCCTACAGATCTATGCAAAAAAAGGCACTTCTTGGATTCATGAAATCATCAAATATTAGTGCTGGAAGGAACATTACTGATCAGTCTTATGACCTTATTTGACAGATGGGGGAAACTGAGTCCCAGAGAGGTGAGTGTCCAAGTCATGGCCATGGCCAGTTGATGGCAGTGCTTAGGTAAGACCTGAGCCTTTGAAATCCCCCAGCTGCAAAGATGGAAAAGGTTTTCCCATAATATCACATTACTTGAGAAGCACATGTGAACTTTTTACAGTTTAAAAAGTCTCACTGCTATATATTACTAAGAACACATACTAAGGGAGATAGTTTAATCATAGCTGTGATGGTAGTATTCAAGGCATTTACAAACACATTCATATGTGGCTCAGTTGGTTTGAACCTTCTGCTCATGATTCTAGGGTCACTGGTTTCCTTTGTGACCTGTTACTTCCCTGTGTTCTTGGCTACAGGCTGTCCCTGGCTAGTCATTTCAGTGCATGCTGCTGTACCTTGGGAACCAGAAGGGAGAGTGCTAAAAGATTAGCAAAAAGTTGATCTCCACTATCGAACAACTATATGTTTCTATTAATGAATCAGAGCATCCTCTTCATATAACTAGGCCAATATAACCCACCAGGTGAAGTCTATACTTATCCTAATTGTTGTTGTTATTGGCCGCTGTAGAGTCAGCCTCTGACTCATGGCGACCCCATGCACAACAGAACAAAATGCTGCCCGGTCCTGCACCATCCCATGATCAGTTGTGGATCCATCTTTGTCTGGAAGCGCCACTAAAATCCGTTCAGTATCATAGCAACATGCAAGCCTCCACTGACAGACAGGTGGT